GTGTATATTTGCAAAGCAAGGACACAGTTTTGATACGCACAGTTTCCATTTACATGATACCTGTGCAAAGGCAAGGCTGCCTGTACTGGATAAATATAAAAGTCTATATGCAACATTTGTATATTGCAACTGCATAAGAATAAAATGAACACAAGTGAACTCTCCATTCAGTTTTCTTTTTAAACTCTCACTGGAAGTAACTCAATGTCTGGAGAGCTGAAAGGGGGAATAATTTAAGTCTCAATGTTTTATGCATCTACATGCACTTTCCAAAAATCATCTCTAATTCATACAACTCTACAAGAAAGAGAATAATATTAGACTTGTTTTTGACAACTTATGCTCAGAGAATTATTACCAGCTCAGGACTCCCTCAAATCAGGTCAATTTGTAGACAATTTAAATGTTACCTGTAACTATTGATATATCTTTAAATTACTAATAGATTTTCAGAGGGTGATCACATGTACAATTTCATTTCATCCTAATGAATTCTCCAAAATAGGCTGAGGCAGATTCTGGTATCCTTATTTTAGGGATTGAGGCCTCCTATTTAATTACTGTGATTATTGATCCCAAGCCCCCAGCCCCCATTAGAATGTAAAACACTCAAACAAGAATGTGGCAATAGCTATTTACTTTCAGTTCTCAACTATGGTTTAAGTAATCAATAAAGGATGAAAATTGTATGCACTAAGTACAAATAACATTGAGAAAAATGTTTTTCTTTTATAAACCATATTCAAATGTAGAATATTTTTAATTCTTTTTTTTAAATGAATTTTTTTCTGCCTATACAAATTTCAATGTGTCTTTAAGGATAAACTGACAGGATCAGTAGCTTTCAGTTCTGATAATGCAGTTAAGCCTCTAACCGTGTATTGTTGATGCTTATGACAACTACATAGAATATGTGTGTATTTATAAGAGAATACATATGTATTCTCATATATATGTATGTGTATGTATATATACACATATACATATGTGTATATATATATATATATCTTGGGTATATAAATATTTCACAATTTCAGGCTTGGCTAAGAATGATGGAGTCTTAAAATGTTTAAGCCAAATTAAAAATAAAAGTCAAGGGATTTTATTCTCTTGGGCTACTGTCCAGTAGAGAAGCCACTCGCCACATGTAGTGAATGAGCACTTGAAATGTGGCTAGTCCTAATTGAGGTGTGCTGTAAGTATAAAATACACACTGGATTTCAAAGACAGTATCCCCCCCCAAAAGTATTTAAAATATCCCAATAATTTTATATTGATTACATGTTGAAATGATAATATTTTAGATCTATTGGATGAAATAAAAATATTATTAAAACTAATTTCAACTGTTTATTTTAAGTTGATGAATGTGGATACAAGAAAATTTAAAAATATGTGTGTGGCTCACATTATATTTCTACTGGGACATACATACTGCTCTAGACCAATCCAGTGGGAAGATCCTATGACTTTTGTCTCTAAATCAATGTTGCTTTGGGTTTTGAAATTTGAGAGAGGAGAGATATGCACTAAATAAGGAGCTGTCCAATTTTTGAGCAGATTTCATAGGAAATATAAGCGCCAGCACATGTTGGGTTTGGAAAGTAAGCTGTTTCAACCTCACAGGCTCTCTGAGCACAATTAAGAAATGACCTCCCCGATGAGATCTGGGGCAGCGGTAAAGGTGAAACCAAAGGTTTGGCCAACTAAAAACCTCAGGGAGATTTAGGGGTTTAAGAGCCTTGTCCCATGGCAGCCTCCAAGGTGCCCCAATGACCTGTCCCTGAAAGAAAAGTCAGAGTGGCTTACGGCTAATGGAGTGAGCTCTGAAGAAATTCAAAGGAAAGCACACAAGTTATGTGAGGGAATTCTATTAGAGGAGGGGTGACCAGCCTGGACTAGAAGCGACTCTGTGAGGAAGCACGCTGAGGGCCTACTCGGTTGCAAACCTGGGCCATTTCTTCCTCATGAGGATAGCGAAGAGCTCGGAGGAAGCCTGGGGGCAGAAGTCGGTCCTAATGAAGAAACTGGAAACAGGAGCCTGCTTAGACTCCAATAGCCGTGGACCAGTGACCACTGTGTCTCCCACTGCCCTTCCTTTGGGACACCGGTGCTGGCTCTGGTTCTTCAGTCTCTGTCTCTCCATTGTTTGTGTGCATGCGGGAGGCCTCTGGCTTGTCTCTTTAGTTCACAGGTCTTCAGATCCAGAGGAAACGCCCCCAAGGAGGAGCCTCCTTATCCTCACTTGGACATGATTGAAATGATCAAATTTTAGGGAATTTTGAGTGGCTTGAGTGTATTGTGCCTGTGGGGTAGGGAGTGTAAATAATGCCTGGAGAGAAAGTGGGTATGGTAGAGTAAAAATGTGCTTTGACACGCTTCCCACTGAGAGATGGGTTCTATTTTCCAACGCTTTGAACCTGTGAATGCTTTGATAATGGAGTACAATGTAAGTGACACTACGCCCGTTCGGAGCCCGCCTTTAATAGAGTGAACAGCACCTGCCTTGGTTTCTTAGAGCCCTGAGTTGCCATGTGGGAATTCTGACTGCCCTGCTGGAGAGATTACCCAGGGAGGTCCTGAGACTACCTGAGAGAAGGGCCCAGCTGTGCCCAGCCTTCCAGCCATCCCTCCACCCCAAAGTGCTAGAAACGATGTGGGTGAAGCCTTCTTGAAATCTCCAGCCCAGCCCAGAGGCCAGTTGAACAATGCCACGGAGCCACATTCCACGTGGAACAGACAAATCACCCAGCCAAGTCTTGCCAGAATTCCTGACTGCTGTGGCTTGTGAGCATAACAAAATGACTTGTTTTAATCCACTAAATTTGGGGTAGTTTATTGTGCAATAGTAGATACCTGGGACACACACACACACACACACACACACACACATCACATCCTAGTTGAGTGACCTGGAAGATTTTTACTTAAGGTCTCTGCCTTCAGTATTTTCATCAGTAAAATTGGATGATAGTATCTATCTAGCATGGGTGTTAAAAAAATTAAACAAAACAACATATATATAAAGCAGCCAGCATGTATTTGGATCATAATATTCTTCTTTCTTTTGTTTCTCTGTCAAGTCTCCCTTAACATATCAATAGTATTAGTGGGTATGTGTTTACTTCAGACACCATCAGTTTTCCTGATAGACACACACATGCACACTCGCTCCCCACATGTATTCACATATGTATGGATCACGATTTTTTTTATTATGTTATGTTAATCACCATACATTACATCATTAGTTTTTGATGTAGTGGATCACGATTTAAAATCTTATTAATTTTAGGATTTATAACCATCTACCACTTCAAAACTGATTATTTGTGGTGGTAAATGTGGTGAGGATTCCGGTATTTCCAGAAATGGATTGTTTCGCTGTTGGTAGTGGTTTCTTATTGTCCTCTTAGGGTTGTTCCTTAAAAGTCAGATTAAAAATAAATCACATTTTTCACTAATAAATGGAAGAGGCATGCTGTACCTCTGTAAATTCAGGAAGCTGAGCAGGAGGAATCGGTGAGCTTCTTTGTACCTGTTCGGACTCAGAAGGCCTCAGGTCAAAGGAGAATGGATACACAGCACAGGCTGCAAAGTACCAGCATCCATTTCATTAATTGTAGTTATGAAAAATCTGTCGGTGGGGAGAGTTATGCCATATGTAGTGCCCACACTTTGACACTTTGCTTATGTATCTTAAGCTAAATCATTCCTATTTCTTTCAGTTTATGAATATGGTGGCTTGGTCATTTTGCTGTCGCACAACATAGGGTCCAGTGACTGGTCCTGGCATAATGAATTGTATGACTCCAAGACTGAGACAAGCACATATTAATAAACGTAGACACAGGTATGCTCGCTGCTTTGTAGAAAAGTTACTGGCTTGGATGAGATAAAGCATCTATTTGAAGATGGAGAGAGACAAATCTTTGGCGCATAATTATACCTAGAGAATCTGTTAATCAGATTAGCATCTTGGATTTACTAGGTCTGAGACTTCAATTTTTTTTAACTTGCCTTCCGCCTACACTCCCCACCGCACCCCTGCCCAACTAGGAATCCTTTGATGGGAGGAGGTGGACGGGTGAAATCTTTCTGTAGTTCTCGGTCTTTCTCCTGTTAGTTAAAGGTTTACTTAAAAAGAATTAAGGATAGAGGCGCCTGGGTGGCAACGTCGGTTAAGCGGCAGCCTTGGGCTCAGGTCACGATCCTGGGGTTTTGGGATCGAGCCCCACGTCTGGCTCCCTGCTCAGCGGAGAGCCGCTTCTCCCTCTCCCTCTGCCTGCCACTCTGCCTACTTGTGTTCTCTATCTCTCTGTCAAATAAATAAATAAAATCTTAAAAAAAAAAAAAAAAAGAATTAAGGATACCAAACACCTGTCGGACAGACCCTCCCGCCCAGGCAGGCCCTGGGGAGGGGTGAGAGGCCACAAGGTGGGCACTGGAGGCGCAGGGAGGGCGGCAGGGTGGGTGCCACGAGGCCGAGCGGCTGGCGGCCAAAGCTCAGGTCACTGGATTATGGAATCCGGCCTCTGGCAGCAGGACTTTTCCAAGGTTAGGTTCCTGGGAACGCCGGAGGCGGACGCGGGGCAGGGAGGCGGCGGGTGGGGCGGGGAGCGTTGGGGACCCGCCGCCTGGCCCAGGCCGACCTCCGCGAAGGGCGCTGCGGCCGGGGAGGAGGAGGGAAGGGCGTGCGCGGAGGGAACGGGAGGCGTCGCCCCGCCGCGCCGGAATCTGGCCGGTGCGGGGCCGTGGGACCTGTAGGGGAAGGCAGTCGGGGTGACCCGCGAGCAGCCGCGCCCATGGGTCGCGCAGACCCGGCCCGGAGCGTCCCTGGCCGCGCCGCTCAAGGCTCGAGCTTCCCGGGCGCGACTCGGCTGCCGGTGCAGGGCTAGCGGGCTGGGGGCGCAGGGCTGGGCGGGCGGGGAGCCGAGGCCCCGGGGGCGCGGGGGCGCACGGCCGCCCGCCGCCTGCAGGGGGCCCGCGCGGGGTGTCAGCGCCCGGAGGCGCCTAGGCCTCGGGGCGCGGGGCCCAGACCCGGGGACGCGAGCCCAGGCCTGGGGCTGATTGTGATTGGGTAAGTCTTGATCTGGCAAGGGAGGTGGGATGAACTTTCTGTCGTGTCATATTTTTGTGCCATGTGTGTGATTTTTTTTTTCTCCCTGGCTGAAAAGCTGGAATTCATCTGGTCTGTTTCCCCGCATCCATTCATGAAATCTCTCGTGCTGACATCATCCCGCTTCCCCAAGCGAAGTTGCTCACTTGCACTGAGAAGCATCCGTCGCGTCTGAGATGACAGACTCTCCATCAGTCCCGAGAGCAGCAGTTGCTTCTAGGATGTGCTTGTATTAAGTCAGGGCGGCGCTGAGTGTTTTTTATGGGAGGAGGGGCTTCGTGAGAGCCAGTCCACCCAGAAAACCATCCTGCATTTCAGCCCATGCAGCATACAAGTCTTCATTTCAGGCAATCCTTTTAAGCAGAAATACAAAATTTTGGAAGCTTCGATCACTGTTTAATACTGTCTACAAGGCAAAGTGGCAGAGGTTTGTGGGCTATCAAGAGGCAAGTTTTAAAAAGTAAAAATAGATCCTAGAGTCATTACCTTGACACTGGAAATGAGTGACTCCTAGAGATTGGGACTCAGCCTTCACTTTGACGCACTGACAGATTAGGGCCATATAGTTCAGTGGGTGCACTTCAGTCTGCCCTAAAACCCGGGTCCTGTTTCCAAATGAACAGCCTTAAATGTACCCATTAGCAGTTTTTTAACATCTCTAAAATTTAAGCAGTATAGACGGGAACTAGTGTAAAACTTACATGTCTATGTATAATGTAAAAAAAAGCTTAATAGACATTCCACCACTTTCAAGTTTTAAGATATTTTTAGGACACGTCCTGTAAACCCTGTACACTTTTTTAGACTGCATCATTTATGTAGGAATTGATAGTTCACAGGGAATTAAAAACGTTCAGTGTTATGCATGAAGTCACAGTATAACTGTTAGGGGAGAGAAATCAAAGATTCAAAGCAAAACATAAAAAGAAAAAAACAAAAGGCAAATTGTATAGCTTCTGTTTTTGGTTAACAATGTCAGTAATTTGGGGTCCCTGGAGAGACATGCATGTGGCCTGGGTCCAGAGAGCAGCTCCATCCCTATCTTCTTGGTGACCTTGGGTAGTCATTGCATTAATAGGCTCAAGTTCCTCTTCAGAATTCCTCTGAACTCTGTGGTCAAATGAACTCTCAAGTTCAAGAAGTTCCACAGAAATAGACTTTTGAAGTAGATGAGACAGGAAGAGCAGGGGAGAAAAAAGTTAGAGAAATAGTATGGAAGTAGATGGTGGTTGAGGGCATCCATTTTACAGTAATTCCTCCCCCTGCACCCCCCCCACCCATCCCTGCATCTTGAAGATCTGTCATCAGCTCCACTTTGAAGTGAGTAGTAATGCCATCTGCGAAAGGCTATGGTGTCGTAGGAAGAGAGGAAGTAGTTCTTTCATTCTGTAAATCATTTTCTTAGGTTGGAAAGACTCCCTCCTCTCCCACCCACCCCCCAAAAAAGATGAATTTTCTGGAGGAAGAGATGATTGTTCATTGGAAACAAAACAAACAGGCATGTGTCTGCTTAGTGAATTTTGTTTTCCAGTCTCACAAAAGGCAGAGGAGGAGCCGAAAGCAAGAAACGATTTCATCCAACCATTCAGTTGTAAGAGTCACTTTTGGAGATAGATGTGAGTTATTCCAAGAGCTGTGAGTTTTCTGTCTTTATAAAGGATAAACAAATCTCCAGACATGTCTTGAACTAGAAGAGTATGTTTGCATCTGGTCACAATGTAATCTTTTGTAGTAAGCATGAATTTACAGAGTAAAAACATGTTCTTTGTTTGGCTCACTAATTTAATCTTTACCTATTGATTCTTTCAGTGAACGTGGAGCATCTCTATGTGACAGGCATTCTTTTAGGTGCTGCTGATAAAAATAAATAAATAAAGTGTCAAAATCATCCCAATAAAAAGCTGAGGGCCAGAAAGAGATCTATATAGTACGAAATGCTGCAGGAGGTACAAAGAAACAGCTCAGTGTTTTTATCGAGTGGCTCGTGATAATGATGATAGCAGTCAACAAGAGCAGCCTGATTGACCCAGCACTGATTATGAAAACACTTTACATACTTTAAGTTAGGTCTCACAACAACTGTAGGAAAACGTTTACGGTATTGTCACTGTTTTATAGATGTGTGTATTGGTTCCAGGAGAGGAGAAGCAACTTGCTTAGAGTGCACAGCCTATCAGGGGCAGAGCAGGATTCTAATCTACCTTTGTTATTCTTATACAGATTATTTTTTTTAAGATTGTGTTTATTTATTTGACAGAGAGAGAGAGAGTGCGCACGCACACAAGTAGGCAGAGCAGTAGGCAGAGAGAGAGGGAGAAGCGGGCTCCCCTCTGAGCAGAGAGCTCGATGCTGAATTCGATCCCAGGACCCCGGGATCATGACCTGAGCCAAAGGTTTAACCGACTGAGCCACCCAGGTGCCCCTCTTATACAGATTATTATGAAGGAACATATTTTATTTTAATTCACCACCCTGAGGTTTAAAATTATCTCTCAGCAAGAAGCAGATTAACTCACACGCTAGCATTTATTTCTTAAAGCTCAAAGCAGCTCTTTTTGATGTAATTTTTAGTTGAATGTCTCTTTTTTCATCATAAGTATTTTTATGTTTATTTAAAGAGTTATTGAGTCACATGGAAATGATAAATAATTGATGGTTTTGAAGCAACTGAACAAGGCAAAAGGTAAAGCAGTTTATTAGCATAAAAGCTTGTCCTGTATTCTTTTCTCTTAGCACCTTTATCCTCAGAACCGCTTGATTGTACTTTAGACATATGAGCAATAAGGAGGGAAAAAATTTTTACAATTCTGTTCTTCTCTCATACAAGACATACGTATGGAAGGCAGAGGCTCTTGCTAACCTCTGTAGTAATGAACTTGTTTTTCAAATTCCATTTGTTGTAGAGTACTATAGGTACATAACTAAGGGCAGAATTTATTCCCTGTATTAATATTTTTTAAAACTCCATTTACATTCAGGGCGCCTGGGTGGCTCAGTTGCTTAAGCAACTGCCTTCGGCTCAGGTCATGATTCTGGAATCCCAGGATCGAGTCCTGCATCAGGCTCCCACTCAGCAGGGAGTCTCCTTCTCCCTCTGACCCTCTCCCCTCTCATGCTTTCTCTCTCTCTCTCTCATTCTCTCTCTCAAATAAATACATAAAGTCTTTTTAAAAAACTCCATTTACAGTCAGAAATACAAATGTTGTAAATTAGGCACCATTTTAATTGATGACAGCAAACTTTTTTTAATGAATGTTATGTGGTATCCTTGTTAGAAATATTGAAAGTTGACTTCTTTTTCCAAATCACTGTCACATCTTCAGTTAATATAAAATATGAGTAATTTGTATGGGAAAATATTATTTCTGTAAAAGAATACAAGGTGTTTACCATTAAACGTTAGGAAGCTACTTTGACTAACAGGGAAGTAAATGTTTTAAGAGGTTCATTGAAAGGGCATTTTAATGATTAACACTAACTTTCATACACCAATCAGGCTTAGTACCTTATTTAAAGTTTAGAGATTTCTTCTGTGTTAGTTTTCCATTAATTTTAATATTTTAAAACTCTACACATCAGGCTACAAACCAAACAACGGTGCCAAATTCAAATGAGAGTTATTGTTTGTGTGTCTCAGTCATTTTTTTGATTCATTCATGTGTTTAGTGATTAAAGAGAATTTAATATATTTCAGAATTAATATGGAATTATTGATTTTTTTCTCTTGGAAGGCTAGTTGCTTTTGTAATCACAAGAGCACTGGACACCGGTCAAAGGACAAGCGAGACCTGAAATCCAGCTCATGTTGCATTTGCCTCAGAGTGAGGCTGTGTCTGCCCATAGCTTTGGGCAACTTTTATGAGTCTGGCCAAATCACAGAAAAGTTGCTGTTGTTTTTTTCTGTTTTATATAAAGGGGCATGTAGGTTCATGGCAAAGTTGTTCTAAGAAAAATAAGAATGGTAAGGTCCCATGCCTCAGTTTCTTGAGGATATGTGGGGTGTGTGTGTGTGTGTGTGTGTGCTTGTGTGCATGCGCACGTGTGTGTTTCGGGCGGCATGGCGAGAGGAGAGGAGCAACTTTATGCAGAGGACATTTTAAAAGTTTTCACGAATAAAATTATTACATTAGAGATACTTTTCATATTTTACTTTATTTTTCAGAAGAGGACTGTCAGAAGGATCTGGGAAGCAAAGTTTGGCTGTGAAAAGCAAAGATCCTTTACCTACACATTTTACAAGCAATGTGCAGAAAGCCATTGATAAATATTCCTGGTAAGAATGAATGCACTGCAATGCTTTTGATTGCAAAATCAAAACGTGCCCATAATGAGTATAGGAAGCAAAATCAGTGATTGCATTTCTAAGAGTAAAAAAAAAAAAAAAGCAGTTTCATTTTTAGTGTAATGAAATGTTACACTGCATAAATGTTTTAAAATCAGTTTTAAGGGCGCCTGGGTGGCTCAGTCGTTAAGCATCTGCCTTCGGCTCAGGTCATGATCCCAGGGTCCTGGGATCGAGTCCCACATCAGGCTCCCTGCTCTGCAGGAAGCCTGCTTCTCCCTCTCCCACTCCCCCTGCTTATGTTCCTGCTCTCACTGTCTCTCTCTGTCAAATAAATAAATAAAATCTTTAAAAAAAAAAACAACAGTTTTTAAAATTGGCTCCAAGAAGTAAAACCACTTCCAGTTTAATCTCTTCCCAGGAAATGGTCTTTATGGGCTTACGTTTGTCTCTGCAGTGAACCCGGGTCATCATTTACATCCAGTGGCAGCACCACGCCTGCAGGCACCCACAACTCTTGGTCTCGGTCTGGGATGCAGAGTTCTACCACTGGCTTATCAACTGAGAGGAGCTCCATTTACTCTTGGAGAGATGACGTATGTCTCAGCATCTTTTGTATAATTCCATGATTACAATTTATAATGAAGAATTGCTTTCTTACTTTTAAATCATCTTTTTACCACTTTTGAAAGCATTACCTACTGGACACGTACACATACATCCCTATGAGCGTGTTTACATGTCACATCCTGGAAAAATTTAAAAATATAGAAAGGATAAGGAAAAATAAAAAATCACTCATAATCTCATAACCCAGAGCCACAGCTGTTGATACTTTTGGTTTTTTCCCCACTTCTCAGCCCCTCCTCCTCCGTATGTTGTATATGATCACTTGTGTCCTATCCGAGACTGGAAATTCAGGACAGACTTTGACAACGAGCAACTTAAATACCAGAAAAAACGTGGAGAAGTAAAAATTGTACAAAATCACCGTGATTAGGGGAATTTCCCCCCAATATTCTAAATCAGATCTTTTACTTTCACCTCTCACCCTAGCAGAAGCTGTTAACTTGAACCCTATTTTTGTTCTCTGCGGGAGTGGGATTCTTAGCTGTGTGGACCCGAGTGTCCAGCTCAGGCTTTTGTTGGGCACTCTGCCAGCCGCAGGCTGCTGTCTCTTTATTCCCTCAAGTGCCCCTGAGAACAGGGACCCAGCCTTTTGTGAAGCGCACGTGGCTGTGCGAGAAAGTCCACTACATTACCTTGGATGCTCTGACTCCTACTCTTTTTTGGTGTGTGTGCTGGTTTCCTTTGCCGTCTTGAAAGCAGTTCGCCATTTGGAAGGCACCCATGGGTCCACTTCGGGTCCACTTCCTCGGATGGGGGCTGTGCAGTAGCTGGGCTTCTCACAGCAGTGGGAGGGACCCTGGAAGGAGTCAGCTCCAAACCACTCAGGCCTTTTCCAACAGGGCGGGCCTGGCTTACCTGTGATAAACGGTCCCCACCCTCACCCCAGAGTCTGCAGGTGGGAAGAAGGCTGAGGACCATCGCTTCATACTGTCCCAATCCTAAGATTGCCTCAGTACGCATTTTTATGTAATTCTGCGGAGGGTCTTGTGACTTTCATTTATAGAACTGAAATGACTTCAGGCCCTACCATTGCTTTTCATTTAAAAACTTTAACTTACTTTTTTGATAGGTCATATTTGCAAAAAGCAACAAAAGCCAAAAAGAGAGGAAATTGAAAGTAAACTCTTTTACTTGCCTCGGCCACCTGGCTGCCTCGCCGGAGGCAAAAATTCTTAGTTTTTACCTCATTTGCATTTTAAAAGAGATCATTCAGTTCCCCTGCTGTCTGGGAATCTGGTTTATTATCAATTTAAGAGAAGATGCAAAACAAAAAAAATATTGACTATCATTCTATGAAAATCAATCCGGTTTGACCATCTTGGATCAGGTATATCAAAACGAATGTGCACTTTATTGCTCTGAGTTGTGGATTAGATTTTAGGTTCACACTCCCCTAAAAGAAAATATAGCTAGGGCTCTTCATTAGAAGAAGGTAAATGGCCCTTTGTATAAAAGTCATTTTCCTTTTCAGTGATATCATCAGAAGAAAACCTAGCTGGTATTTTGCAGCTGTGCTTAAGTGTGTCACGCTCACCCATATGAGGGACTTATGTCTGTGTACATCTATGTACATATATACATATAGATATATAGGTATGTGTACATGTGAGTATATCAGTGTCTGTCAATATGTGTACCTTTACCTATATTTATATCTACGTAAAATCTCAACTAAGTCTCATAACGCATGTGCTAGAAATGATCTCTATTTAACAGTTACAGAAGCTGAGTCTCCCAGTGGGATGTAATTTCTCAGAAGAGTAAAAATTGGGCCACTGGCATGTCTGACTGCAAAGTCCACATTCTTGTTTCATGTCATATTTCTTCCTATATAACGGGCACTTTAAATTTGTAAGTGTTAATGATCATGAATGCCGTGTTTCTACAACTTTTAGTCTTATAACTAAATGTGCATTTCTGTTTTAGGAGTTTGACAAGGCGAACGCAGAGAAAGTCCAGCAGTTATTCTGGGAGGTGGAGGAAATGTTATTTGAAGGGAAAGTAAGCCCTCATACTCAGAATCTAGTGGCTGAGTGCAGTGAGTGGGCAAGAAGATCCCTCCATCTGAGGTAGGGAAGTTGTTCATAGTAACTCTCTGAAATACGTTCTGGAACCGCCCGCTCCTGGCCTGTTTAATACAATTAGTATATTTTGACTGAAAGCAGTTGCCCAGTCAAAATATCTATCCAGAACATGTGTCTTTAGTAAGAAAGCACAGCTTTTGAAATGGTGTCTGAGGAATATTGGGACATTCCAGATACCCAAGTGCATCTTAACTTGTGAGAAGCAAATCTAGCTCATTTTCAGAAGGGCATTACATACGTAACAAATGCAAGAGTGGTAGAAGTGATCCTTTACCTTCACATTCACTGTCTTCAGAGCTGAGGACAGTACTCAGGGTTGGGGTTGGGGGAGAAAGAGAGAAATTATTTGATGAATGATTGGATAGATGAATCTTCCTAACTAACCAAGATTCCTTATGTAGGAAGGATCACTTATTTTTTTTTTAATCCCTCAGGGATTTTATGTATGTATGTATGTAATTATTTATTGTCATATTTTTAAATTTATCTTTTTTCCGTAGACTCCACGCCCAGTGAGGAGCCCAATGAGGGTCTTGAACTCATGACCTTGAGATCTAAGACCTGAGCTGAAATCAAGAGTTGGACCTTTAACTGATCCAGGCGCCCCAGGATCACTTATTTTTTTAATTTCAAAGATGGAAAATATAGATTGGGTCTGAAGGAAAGCTTTTCTTCTTTCAGTGATTCAGCCAAACCCACTTAGGAGAAAAATCCATCTCCCTTATCAGAAGTTCCTCTATATTGTATCTGGGAGAATAGATTAGAGCCCTCATACAAATGTAGATGGATTTTCTGGTTACCTCAACTAGGTAACTTAAAAAAAATCTTGGCTGCGTAGTCTTTAAATCTTTCTATTCAGTCCTCCATAAGCCCTCTGTCTTGACGCGTATAATACGTCCACCCGATATTAATTGTGGATCCTTACTTTTTAGGCATGGGGCACTTACTGAAAAGCCAGGAGCTCAGATCTGCTCCTGTCCCTCTTGTCTTATTCTAGTTAAGATAAAAATGAAGGAGGGGAGGGTGGAAAAAGAAAAAACTGCAAGGAGGGGCGCCTCAGTGGCTCAATGGTTAAGTGAGCCTTCGGCTCAGGTCATGATCCTGGAGTCCCGGGATCGAGTCCCGCATCGGGGGTCCCTGCTCAGCGGGGAGTCTGCTTCTCCCTCTCCCTCTGCTGCACCCCCTGCTCATGCTCGCTCTCTTTCTCTCTCTCTCTCAAATAAATACATAAAATCTAAAATTTAAAAAAAAAGTTTAAAAAAAGAAAAGACTGCAAGGAATATAAGCCGGGTATATATATTTGTATAGTTTTATTCATTATGTAAATATTAGTGAACATTTATAGAGAGCTCCTGTGTGCCCAGCGTTACGCTAGCTGTCTGAATCTGATACATATTATCTCTAAACCACTCATCAGTCCTCCAGGTAACTATTGTTGTATCTCGTGTACAAACAAGAAACAGATGAAATCAGTGGCTTCCAGAGCCTGAGAACATTGCCTCAGATCTCTTCGTCAGTAGCGAGAACAGTCTGTCCCGCTCCCTCAAAGCCTACACTTATTCTTTGACACCACTGTGCTTCTCACATACCAGTATATTCCTTATCACTTCATACATGCGCCTTCAAAATATTGTGTCATCTGACTTTCAGCATTGCAAAGAATTTTTCCTTTTTCCAATCAAAAATATTAGTAAGTTCCTTTTTTTTCTTTTTTTACCTTGCAGAGTATTAGGAAGACAGCTCATCGTGCCAACTGATGAAGGGTTCCAACATTTCCAGGGCAGTGAGCCTAGTACTATAGTCCACAAACCCTTCTTAGATGCCTGTGGACACAACCGCAACAGCAGAGAGTAGGTTCCTATAAGTAACTTTTGAAAGTATTTTTAATTTCATTTTAGTTATACTCTTTTCATGTCTATCTTAGTCATGAGCCTTGGCTCCACTGATTTGGAAGCTTAGATTTCAGTGAAGGGCAGGTACAGAGCATTTTTTTTCCCAAGATGCTTCTGATTCTAGATTGATGATGATGATGATGATGATGATGATGATGAGTGTGTGTGACACAGATAACAAGGAAGTTAACTTTTGAACTGTTGTTTCAAAGACTCTGAAATGTGGGCTAGATGAAAAATAAAAAAACTGACCCCTTTTGATGCATCCTAAGCTCCAACTCAATAGCAGAAGAAATAAAGTTCTATCCCATTTTCTTTTTTTTTTTAAGATTTTATTTATTTGTCAGAGAGAGACACAGCGAGAAAGGGAACACAAGCAGGGGGAGTGGGAGAGGGAGAGGCAGGGTCCCCGCTGAGCAGGGAGCCTGATGCGGGGCTCGATCCCAGGACCCTGGGATCATGACCTGAGCCGAAGGCAGACGCTTAACCAATTGAGCCACCCAGGCATCCCAAAGTTCTATCCCATTTTCTTTTGATAAATCCCTCTATGCCAGTCACACATATTTGGGACTGTGCCATGACATCATTTTATTACAGCAAAGGGGATGCAAACTCATCGAGTAATGTAAGCTTTTAAGAGGCCCTTAAAAATTTTTAATGAGGGCGCCTGGGTGGCTCAGTTGGTTAGGCGACTGCCTTCGGCTCAGGTCATGATCCTGGAGTCCCTGGATCAAGTCCCGCATCGGGCTCCCTGCTCGGCGGGGAGTCTGCTTCTCCCTCTGACCTCCCCCCTCATGTGCTCTCTCTCATTCTCTCTCTCTCTCAAAATAAATAAATAAAATATTAAAAAAATTTTTTAATGATGCCTGTGTTAAAATGTTGCTTTTAAGGATATGATTTTATCAAATATATTAAGCAATGATTTTTTTGTTTGTGATTCTGTACTTTATGGATAATTTAAAGACTCGCCAGAATCATGCAAGCATTATAGTCTTAATGTTCTACAAACTCTCATGGAGGATCTGCTTCTCCCTGTAGGTTGTGCGTCTCTGGTTCTCAAATACTCCCCGAGGTGTGCTCAGCCCCTCCCCTGCCAGGGCCCGAGGGCCCAGGGGTTGCTGGCCTAACAGCAGGCTCAGCCCAGGAAGAAGAGGTTTATGACGTGGATGGAAAGATTGAAGAATATTTTGCTTTTGACAGAAAAGAAGAGTAAGTAGAATTTATTTAACATTGACTTAGTGTAATAATATTAATTTACTTGGCATTTATTTTGATTATTTGCTCATTTAGTATCTTCTGTACTTTTTACTTGTCCAAAAGATTTTCCATTCTTTTGAGAGTAATGTACTCCCAAAAGCTTTTCGAGTCCTAGCAGGATATGTCCATGCCAGATCAGTGCTTCCCTCCCCCTGCCTTTTTTTGACAACATGGCACAGCTAGAAAACAAGAATTGTGTTCAGCATGCTGGTGAAAGTGGACGAGGCTCCTAGTGGCCTTCATTTCCTGAGGACTCCAGGCTGCCCTTCTAGAAAGACAAAGGGAAGGCCCAGTCTCTGCACTAAATACAGAGACTTAAATTGGTTCTTTGAAAAAAGCTACAAATATTGAATAATAAAAAGTTGCCTGTGATTGAAAATGGGTACATTAAAAGTGTGCTGCTAAAATGTGCTGCTAAAAAAGAATGTTATGTTTATACACGTATAATGTACGTATGCATACATATTAGAGAGAGAGATAAGTAGTTGGATAGTACTATTTTAACTTTAACCATTGATACTTTTAGTAATTACAATGGGTTTTGTTCTTAGTGATGATGAATGTCTTGAACAAAAATCAGCTCACCGCCGTAGGATGTGGCGGAAACACGGACTTCCTCCCCTTTCTCCTCATGACTGTATCAAAGATGCGGTGGCTGCAGAAGTGTTTGATCACGTCTGGACAAGTGTGGTAGAGATATTGGAAGAGCTGATCAGAAAAAATTGGGAAGTTACACTCACAGGTACTTATTTGTAGCATTTGGCCTTAATGGAAAGAAAAAAAAAGACCTCTGTTGCTCAGCTTTGTGTCTCCACCCAGCTTGGCCACACCTAGGATATGATCGAGTGAGAAGAGAAGTAGGTTTTCTCCCCTTATTCATAAATGATCTTGAATCCCTTCAAAAAGGACATTATTATTATTTTGAGTTATAAAATTGGGGCACCTGGGTGGCCCAATCGTTAAGCGTCTGCCTTCGGCTCAGGTCATGATCCCAGGGTGCTGGGATCAAGCTCCACATCAGGCTCCCTGCTCAGCGGGGAGCCTGCTTCTCCCTCTCCCACTCCCCCTGCTTGTGTTCCCTCTCTCGCTGTGTCTCTCTCTGTCAAATAAATAAATAAAATCTTTAAAAAAAATGTATATGCACTTTGGAACAATAACATAGAAATGCACAAGAAAGAAGCTTAGTCACTCTAAAAATCTCTAATAATAGGATGACTTCTCTAATAATGGGAGATTGGTTTTTAATTGTTTATGACTTTATTTGTAAAGCAAAATAGAAACATAGATAATTTAATAATCACTTCATTTAACCTTTTCAAATGTTCTCTTAACTACTTGAAATTGAGAAGAAACAAATCCTAGATATGTCCATGGTAGATGTTAATGGCTAATGTTATGGAATCAGTTTGTACAATAGGGTACTGCTCATGTTAATTTAAATATATTCTTTTTCCATCCATAGGGGTTAATTGGGTTATTATAAAATACCAAGAATTTTTCTTGCCCCAGCGTATAATCCCTAGTTTTCTACCTACCACTGAAATAATAGGCATGTGTGTGTGGAAAGCATCACATCAGCCAATGGCTCTGTGGGGGTCTCTGCTCTATGCAGGGTTCAGTGGCCATAGCAGACTCATGATAACTCAAAAACAAAGATTCTCTTTGAACGGTGAATTTTATGTATATATATATTTGATAACATGTTTCCTAATAATATTAATTTTTTTGTTGTTGACACAGAAGGAAAGAAACAGAAAGAAAAATTGAAAGTAGCTGGGAATAAATCTCCACTGATACTCATTTCCCGTATTAACACGGATGCACCAAGTGCTCCCCCATCCAGAAGCTCTGAAGCCCGAAGCATATCCCTGGCTCCTCATCTTAATCCACCTCAGGTAGATGCTTTTCTGCTAGTATCTTTCTTTCCTTCAGTATTTTTATCTCTGTCCTGGTTTGTCAGTGTGCTATTTTATTATCGAATATTTGGTTCTGTTTGTCAATTAGACCAAAGTTTAAAAATAATCTTTTCATGGAGTATAGTAGCATCACCACATTCTATAATAGAGTAGGGACACTCAGATTTGAGACTTTCCACATGCTTGGAGCTGTAGAGCTGTTTCCATATTTTTAAGGAGAAAAAATGCTTTTCCCCAACATTTCCAGCCAATTTGAAAGTTACAGATATTCTCCTGTCTTCCCACCTAAATGATAAAAAACAAAAGTCAATGAGAATATTTGCGTTCATTCAACATTTATTGAGTTTGCTTAAGTGCACTGTATTAGGTGTTTTGAGGAAATATATAGATGAACAAAGCATGGTCCCCGATCTAGTAAAAGGAAAAGCATAATACATGTCACATGCAATACATTGTGTGAGTCATGTGCAAAACAAGGCCTTAGGAGAATAAAGGAGAGAATGATTCAACCTGACTGGGGCTTGAGTCTTGATCTTTTAGGTTGGAGGTGAAAATTGAGCAGAAACATGAAGAAATGAGTAGGACTAGCATGGGTAGGAAGTCTGCATGGGTCATTTCAGGCCAAGGAGAGGCGTGGAGGAATGAAGGGGGGTGTGTTTGGAAAACAATGATTGGGCGGAGTGGGGTTAGAGGCGAGGATAATGGGCCCAGCAGGGGCATTGTACCAAGACCAGGGCATTGAGAGTCAGGAATGGATGAGGGGGTTATGTTGGACATGTTGTTTAACTTTTCTAACCTTGAATATCCTTTATCTAGAGAATGATGTCCAAGATACTGTTGTGAGGTTAGAATCATATAAATACGTGAGAGTTCCTAACACAGAACCTGGTGCATGCTAAGCACTCAATACATTTTTCTCGAATTGCTTCCTTAATCAAAGATATGGTGGAGGGTGAGGCTGGAAAGTCTGAGCTTGTTAATTTGGGTCCTTTCTCTTTTCTTTTGGATAAGTGGCCAGTGGTTTATCGATTTTATTAATTCTTTCCAAGAACCAGCTTCTAGTTTCGTTGATCTGCTCTACTGTATTTCTGGTTTCTAATTCATTGATCTCTGCTCTAATCTTTATTAGTTCTCTTCTCCTGCTTGGCTTAGGCTTTATTTGTTGTTCTTTCTCCATTTCTTTAAGGTGTAAAGTTAGCGTGTGTATTTGGGATTTTTCTATTTTTTTGAGTGAGGCTTCGATGGCTATGTATTTCCTCCTTAGGACCACCTTTGCAGTATCCCATAGGTTTTGGACTGATGTGTTTTCGTTCTCATTGGTTTCCATGAATTGTTTAAGTTCTTCTTGGTCAACCCAAACATTCTTAAGCAGGATGGTGTTTAGCTTCCAAGTGTTTGAATTCCTTCCAAATTTTTTCTTGTGATTGAGTTCCAATTTCAAAGCATTGTGGTCTGAGAATATCCAGGGAATAATCTCAATCTTTTGGTATCAGTTGAGACCTGATCTGTGACCCAGTATGGGGTCTATTCTGGAGAAAGTTCCACGTGCGTTCAAGAAGAATGAGTATTCTGTTGTTTTAGGGTGGAGTGTTCTGTATATATCTATGAAGTCCATCTGGTCCAGTGTGTCATTCAAAGCTCTTATTTCTTTGTTGATCTTCTGCTTAGTGGATTTGTCTATTGCTGAGAGTGGAGTGTTGAGGTCTCCTACTATTAAAGTATTATTATCAATATGTTTCCTTATTTTGGTTAACAGTTGGCTTATGTAGTAGGCTCCCATGTTGGGGGCAGAGATATTTACAATTGTTAGATCTTCTTGTCGGATAGACACTTTAAGAATGATATAGTGTCCTTCTGTATCTCTTACTACAGTCTTTAGCTTAAAATCTAATTCGTCTAATATGAGAATTGCTAGCCCATCTTTCTTTTTAGGTCTATTGGCATGAAAAATTGTTCTCCATACCCTCACTTTCAGTCTAGATGTATATTTAGGTTCAAAATGAGTCTCTTGTAGACAGCATATGGATGGGTCCTGTCTTTTTATCCAATCTGCAAACCTAATTTGTGCCGTTTCATGGGAGCATTTAGGCCGTTCACGTTGAGAGTGATTATTGAAAGATATGATTTTATTGCCATCATGTTGCCTGTGAAGTCCTTGTTTCTATAGATTGTCTCTGTAAATTTGTTTTATATTATTCTTGGGGGTCTTTCTTATTTTATAGAACCCCCCTTAATATTTCTTGCAGGGCCAGCTTGATGGTCACATGTTCTTTCAGTTTCTGCTGGTCTTGGAAGCTCCGTGTCTCTCCACCCATTCTGAATGATAGCCTTGCCAGATAAAGTATCCTTGGCTGCGTGTTCTTCTCATTTAGTACCCTGAATATGTCTTGCCGGCCCTTTCTGGCTTGCCAGGTCTCTGTGGACAAGTCTGATGTTATTCTGATGTTCCTCCCTCTGTATGTAAGAAATCTCTTCCCCCTCACTGCTTTCAAGATTGTTTCCTTGGATCTAAGATTTGCGAATTGTACAATTATATGTCGGGGTGTCGGTCTGTTCTCATTGATCTTGGGAGGGGTCCTGTCTGCCTCTAGGACATGAATGTTTCCATCATTTCCCAGGTTAAGGAAGTTCTCAGCTACGATTTGCTCAAATATATCTTCTAGACCTCTCTCTCTCTCTCCAGCCCCTCAGGGATCCCAGTAATTTCTGATATTGGAACATTTCGTTCTGTCACTAATCTCTCTCAGTTTGATTCCTTGGGTATTAATTTGTTTTTCCCATACCGCTTTGATTTCTATCTTTTCTATCATTTTATCCTCTATCTCACTAATTTGTTCTTCTGCCTCAGTAACCCTGGCACTCAGAGTATCCAGTTTAGAATGCATTTCGTTCATAGAATTTTTAAGTTCGGCCTGATTAGATCTCATTTCTGCCCTTAGAGATTCTATATTGTTGTTAATATTTTTCTCAAGCCTAGATATCACCTTGATAATTGTTAGTCTGAAGTCTATTTCTGACATCTTGCTTATATCCATATCCATTAGGTCTGTCACAGAGGCCAGAGACTCTGAGTCTTTTCTTTGTTGGGGGTTCCTCCTCTTAGTCATTCTGTTGAGGGGTGGTTGTGGGAATGTACAGAATCCAAAGTATTAACCATGATCCAAGCAAGATGCACCTGTTTTATAGGGACCTTAGGGTTGTTGTCCTCCTGTTCTTCCAGCCTGTCTTCTGGGGGAGGGGCCTGCTGCACTGTGACTCAGGCAACCAGGCTTGGGCAGAGTTGCCCTGCCCCCTGTGGGGGGAGGGGTGGAAGAGGACGGGGTATGGGCTCAGTGAAAACCATTTTTTTCGGGCTTTTGTTCTCTGGCGGCTTTTCATGTCTCTTCCAAGAGTCAGAGCAGAAGTGACACATCCAAACCTCTGTCTCAGAACAGAGAGATCTCAGTCTGCTCTTCACTGAGCTCTCCAGGCCACACTGTCTCCCTTTCTGTCTGCGCTGCTAAAACCCGCAACCTCTCTGGTTGTGTGCCCCTCAGCACACACACTCTCCCATCGCTGGAACCCAGGGTCAGGCCGTCTCTGCCCTTCATGCTTCTAAAACTGTGAGCCACCCGTGGTTCACGTGGGCCCATGCACCTGCAGCTCCTGGATCCTGTCTGGGGGCTGCACTAAAGTCCTTTCCTGGCCCCTACCTGTCTGCGAGTCTGTGCCCTGTCCCCAGCGTGGGAGGCTTGTGCGCGCTGATGTTGTATCACCTTCCCGGCACCAGCTTCAGGGATCCCAATAATCCCTCCCCTTCTGTTTATTTTCTGACATCTGCGTGCAGAATCATGGCTTGCCGCTTTATACCTTGAGATCATGGGATATATTCTGTTTGTAGAGATCCAAATATACCTTCTTACATCTCAGGCTGATTTTGTGGGTGTTCAGAATGGTTTGGTAGATATCCAGCTCAATTCAGGGGACCAGTTGGAATAGGGTCCCCTACTCCTCCACCATCTTTTCTATCTCCAAGGCTGAGCTTCTTCACGGGAGACCTTCAGTAATGCTAAGGAGCTTAGACTTTATGTTTCTCATAGCTCGTCTTGTGTGGGGGAACAGAGAAAAAAGGATAAGTCAGGATTCCTAGTCTTGAGGTAGATGCCGTTTAGCTAGAAGGAGTCAAGCCATGCCAAACACTACTACACACGTGCACACAGGTGCACGCATGCAACCTGGGGCAGTCAGTAGATCGTAGAGCGGATGAGAGTTTGAGCTGTAGGACTACACGTATAGGGTCCAACGTCACAATTTATTAGCTCTGTGATCTTGAATCGGTCCCTCAAAGCCTTCGTCTCGTTATCTGTGGGATCTGTGAGTCAGGAAGCTGTGAGAAGTAAACGAAATAAGACATATAGTACAACGTGTAGTGTAGAGAAGGCACCCAGTAAGCGTTAGCTTTCGTTATAACCAGATATGAATTGTATATTATATCCCACCATATCCTATCCTATCCTATATTGTAATTTGATGTCCTTTAGCTCATAAAAGCCATGGAGTTCAGGGGGAAAGTAGCATACTTCCATAAAGTAGAGTGATACAGGAACTAAATCCTAAATGATAGGTAACATTTAGTAAGGCTGCCTCAGGGCAGAGGCAAAAATATGCACCTAGCATAGGAGCAACTAAACAGACAATCTTCGCAAGATTGGAAGAACACAGAATAGTGTGTATGGTCCAGGGGACAGAAGTTTAAAATAGAAATGTCTAATAGGATTGTTTTACTCTGTACTGTAAGGGCTTTACAGTAAGCTTTCTTTGCTTTTGCTGTTCAAAATAAACTTTCAGAACTGCTACCATTTATTGTATTTTTTTATCTTTTTAAACTGCTCAGGCAGGTCCAACAGTGTTTCTCACTTTGCATTTTCAAATATACAGTACGAATCCCATAAAAATGGGCAGCTGATGACAACATGGAAAAGAATCCTTAAGTATTGGAC